CTCTCTCTCTATCTCTCTCACGCACAGTTCATAATCTTGTGGTAGAAAGACTTTGCAAACAAATTGTGTTTTTCTCCTTTAAGATTGATTGACTGGAATTTGATTTTGCCTTAAATGCTTACCAAATATTGAGATTTCGACTCCTTTAGGCCTTAATTTATTTACATTTCTTGGATTGAAAGGAGAAAAGAAAATATAAGTGGTCATAGGTAAACTCGATGTCCTTGCTGAAAGAAAATCAAAATGCAAAATTGCAGATATACAGAGAGAGTTTATGTGGGGAGCATTATTTATTTTATTGAAGATGGCAGGATTACTTAGGTATATGCTTATTGTCAACCTATATGCAATAGTGCGTTGGTGGTAGAATTGACTACATGCATTATGTTTTGGTGATATAATTGGCTTAATATTCATCTGATCAAGAGAATAAATGCTTGGAGCGTGAAAAATTTGTTTCGATGATTTCACGGAAACTTGATGTATTCATTTTCACCTATCATTTGTACATGTATCTGCAGGAGAAGCAGCGAAAATCGGCAGAAGACCAGAGGAATCCGTATCAACAACAAGCTCAGGCTAAAGCGCAAATGCTGAGATATGAAGACGACTTAGCTCGAAAAAGAATGCTGGTTTGAACTCTCACTCTTCTTGTCCCTCATTCTGAAATCAAGTGTTAAGTATGTGTGATGTGATATGTCAAGCTTAATTTGAGTTGATTGGAAGCACGAGTCTTTTAGTTTATTAACTCGCATAACGCATATGACTATATCTATGTTACCATTGATGTCATTCTCCATGTTTATTGAGTATGATTTAGTAGCATGAATTCAATTTAAGTGGACAATATTTATAATTCTTGATTGATACAAAAGTCTTTTACGAAGTTTACTTTATCATCTATCATGAATTCGGACTGAGCACGAGGCTTGTAGACCTCATAATGTTTATAATTCATGTGTGCTATAAAAATCTTTTACGAAGTTTACTTTAATTCAGACAGATCACAAGGCTCAGAGACGTCATGATACTGAATTGGTGAAAATGCAAGAGGAGTCATCCATAAGAAAAGAACAAGCAAGACGAGCAACGGAGGAGCAGATGCAACTTCAGCAGCGACGGACTGAGAAAGAGAGAGCTGAGTTAGAACCTGAAACAATAGGTGCGAAGGCTATGGCTGAAGTGGAAGGTCGAGCTCATGAAGCAAAATTGACCAAGAAACATAACAGGAGGATGCTTTTGGAGCGAATAAATGGTGAAAGAGAAAAGTGGCACTTTCAATCACATTGAAGGTTTGTAACTGGCCAAATGTTCTTCTCCATTCT